ATGCTCAGTCATAGAAATCCACTGGGTGATCTTGGGCAAGTCACACTCTCTTAGTCCCAGAAGAAGTCAAAGGCAAATCCTTTTGAATATATCTTTCCAAGAAAAAAATGTGATAGGGTCACCATATGTTGGAAACAACAAAAGGTAAATTTTTACAAGTGTTAGAAAGTCTGCAGGGCTTCCCACAGGACCTTCTTCACCTTATGTTACATGCACAGAATCGAAAGAAAATGCATTGCAGAATAGTGCGATCTGTGGCATAAGACATATGATTGCCCTTTTGGCTAGCAAAGAAATGCAAATATGATCCAGCTTGTAATCTTAATTTGTAATACTGTCCTGAAAACTTATTAAAGTGATATAGTACCTTAAGCCAGAGATGGTTTGTTTTTTACAAGAATCTTCACTGTTCACCAAATCAACAAACAAGAGTGTTTTGAAGAGTTGCACTGAAATCTTTCTACTGTGGTGACATCCTTGTGCTTCTCCAGATGGTAATGGACTCCCAACACCCATCACGTGATTGACCAAGCTATTTTTGATGCAAACTATAGTATCTTGGGAATAGGAATAGGAAGGACAAGAGACCTCTTCCAGAAAATTAGAAACATTGGAGGTAAATTTCAGGCAAAAATTGGTATGATAAGAAACAAAGATGGCAGGGACCTAACAGAAGCTGAAGAGATCAAGAGAAGGTGGCGAGACTATACAGAAGATCTGTATAGGAAGGATAATAATATTGAGGATAGTTATGACAGTGTGGTGAATGAATTAGAACCAGACATCCTGAGGAGTGAGGTTGAATGGGCCTTAAGAAGCATTGCTAACAACAAGGCAGCAGGAGACGACGGGATCCCAGCTGAACTGTTTAAAATCTTAAAAGATGATGCTGTCAAGGTGATGCATGCCATTTGCCAGCAAACATGGAAAACACAAGAATGGCCATCAGACTGGAAAAAATCAACTTATATCCCCATACCAAAAAAGGGAAATGCGAAAGACTGCTCAAACTTCCGTACAGTGGACCTTATTTCTCATGCCAGTAAGGTAATGCTCAAGATCCTGCAAGGAAGACTCCAGCAATACATGGAGCGAGAGTTGCCAGATGTTCAAGCTGGGTTTAGAAAAGGCAGAGGAACGAGAGACCAGATTGCCAATATCCGCTGGATAATGGAGAAAGGCAGGGAGTTTCAGAAAAACATCTACTTCTGCTTCATTGACTATTCCAAAGCCTTTGACTGTGTGGATCATAATAAATTGTGGCAAGTTCTTGGTGGGATGGGCATACCAAGCCACCTTGTCTCTCTCCTGAGGAATCTGTACAAGGACCAAGTAGCAACAGTAAGAACTGACCACGGAACAACAGACTGGTTCAAGATTGGGAAAGGCGTACGGCAAGGCTGCATACTCTCACCCAACCTTTTTAACTTGTATGCAGAACACATCATGCGATGTGCGGGGCTGGATGAATGCAAAGCCGGGGTGAAAATTGCTGGAAGAAACATTAACAACCTCAGATATGCAGATGACACCACTCTGATGGCCGAAAGCGAGGAGGAGCTGAGGAGCCTTCTAATCAAGGTGAAAGAAGAAAGCGCAAAAGCCGGGTTGCAGCTAAACGTCAAAAAAACCAAGATTATGGCAACAAGAATGATTGACAACTGGAAAATAGAGGGAGAAACCGTGGAGGCCGTGACAGACTTTGTTTTTCTAGGTGCAAAGATTACTGCAGATGCAGACTGTAGCCAGGAAATCAGAAGACGCTTACTTCTTGGGAGGAGAGCAATGTCCAGTCTCGATAAAATAGTGAAGAGTAGAGACATCAGACTGGCAACAAAGATCCGCCTAGTCAAAGCCATGGTATTCCGTAGTCACCTACGGATGTGAGAGCTGGACCTTAGGGAAGGCTGAGCGAAGGAAGATCGATGCTTTTGAGCTGTGGTGTTGGAGGAAAGTTCTGAGAGTGCCTTGGACTGCGAGAAGATCCAACCAGTCCATCCTCCAGGAAATAAAGCCCGACTGCTCACTGGAGGGAAAGATACTAGAGACAAAGTGGAAGTACTTTGGCCACATCATGAGGAGACAGGAAAGCCTAGAGAAGACAATTATGCTGGGGAAAGTGGAAGGCAAAAGGAAGAGGGGCCGACCAAGGGCAAGATGGATGGATGGCATCCTTGAAGTGACTGGACTGACCTTGAAGGAGCTGGGGGTGACGGCCGACAGGGAGCTCTGGTGTGGGCTGGTCCATGAGGTCACGAAGAGTCGGAGACGACTGAACGAATGAACAACAACAACATAGTATCTTGGGCCACAAATTCTCCACTCCTGCTCCCCAAAACTCCCACCAATCTATGGGTAGCAGGAGTTCAGAAGCAGAGTGTTTGAGGATCAGGACATCCGTAGAGATACCAAGGTGCTTGTTTATAAAGCTATTGTCCTCCCAACCCTGTTATACACCTGTGAAACGTGGACTGTCTACAGAGGTCACACTCAACTCCTGGAACGATTACATCAGTGTTGCCTCCGAAAAATCCTGCAGATCTCTTGGGAAGACAGGTGGGCAAATGTCAGCATGCTGGAAGAAGCAAATACCGCCAGCATTGAAGCAATGGTACTCTGCTAGCAAACTCTGCTGGACTGGCAACGTCGTCCAAATATCCGAGCACTATCTCCCAAAGCAGTTACTATACTCCCAACTCAAGAACGCAAAACGGAATGTTGTTGCACAGGAAAAGAGATTTAAAGATGGGCTTAAAGCCAACCTTAAAAACTGTGGCATAGACATCAAGAACTGGGAAGCCCTGGCCCTTGAGTGCTCTAACTGGAGGTCAGCTGTGAGCAGCAATGCTGTGGAATTTGAAGATGCATGAATTGAGAGCGAAAGAAAAAAACGTGCCAATAGGAAGGCACATCAAGCCAACTGGGACCGCCTTCCACCTGGAAATCGATGTTCTCACTGTGGAAGAACATGCGGGTCAAGAATAGAGTTACCTAGTCACCTACAGACCCACTGCCAAGACCTTACGGTTGGAAGGCCATCATACTTGGACGACATTGTTCAACAAAGTTTTAATGCAGAAGTCACTGAGGATATAATTGTACTGATTTAAAATGTGAATCATGCAGAGCAGATTTTAAAAGGTATAAAATGCAATTACCATACCTCATGCTTGTGGAACTCCACACTTTTACAGAGCAGAATAGTTAGTGAGTTTTGAACGGTTGGTTTTTTTTTTAAATTGCAGTGTATACTCTAAAACAGTGAAACAAAACTGGAGTGTCTCTGTTTTGATATTTTAAATTGACTACATTTTTTATAATTAAAAGAAAAACTTTGTGCCAAATCCAATTGAGCTGAAAAACAGAGCAAACATATTACTCTGGTTTTTTAGCAATTGATTTACAACACCAAGAATCAACACTTCATTCTTTTAATGTTAGGTCACTGACAAATGTTAAGCTCCACAGGCTTGAAAAACATGCTCTAACCTGCTATGCTGAGTTGGTTACCTGCCAAGTCTCAATTTTGAGTTACATTTGTACAGAGCTCCCTTCCTCTGTAATTGTACCATTCCCCCAGCTTTCAATTCCCAATTAAAGTTAACAATGTAGGCATATACTGTAATGAAAGGTGGTTTCATTATACACTAAATTTAATTAATGTGTCATACAAACATGGAAGGACACCTGCATTTAATATTACATTGTCAGAACAGGCATGCTGTAATGTTGGCTGACAATCCCCCTACCTCCAGACAGCGTTTTTTGGAACTGGCTTCCAGCCTTTACACTCACAATGGAATTTACTAGTTCCTTCAGGGCCAGTCTTTGGTAAATTCTGGTGGAAGCACCCCAGAGGATCACCTTGGAGGACCTAGAAAATTCCTAGAGATTATATATTTTATTGGATGCAAGTAGGTGCAACTGCGGGTACCGGTCCTGTGAAAAGAGGGGTTGTATTGTGTATATATATATTTCATTATAATTTATAAGGAGCACCCGGTGGCGCAATGAGTTAAACCCTCGTGCTGGCAGGACTGAAGACCGACAGGTCGCAGGTTCAAAACCGGGGAGAGCACAGAGGTCAGCTCCAGCTCCCCATGTGGGGACATGAGAGAAGCCTTCCACAAGGATGGTAAAACATCAAAACATCCGAGCGTCCTCAGGGCAACGTCCTTTCAGACAGCCAATTCTCTCACACCAGAAGCGACTTGCAGTTTCTCAAGTCGCTCCTGACACGAAAAAAATTAAATAAAACAATGGTTTACTAGCTGTACCTGCCACGCGTTGCTGTGGCCAACTTTCCCTCCCTCTTTTTCTCCTCCTTTCTTTCTCTCCTTCCTTTCCTACCCCCTTTCCTTCCTCCCCTTCCCTTTTTCTTTCTCTCCTTTCGTCCTTCTCTACCTATTCTTGAACTGTAACTCCCAGCAGTCCTCCTGATTGATCTATCCACCTACTATCTATCTCTAGCTAATCTATATATCTTATGCATCTGCAGGATTGCTGGGAGTTGCAGTCCAGGAATAGGAAATAGAAAATATGTATGAATTGGGAGAAGCAAGGTTGCAGTTTGGAAGCAGTACATTTGGAGCATCCTCCTCCCCTAAAGGGCCTGGTCTAGGGGATGCTGGGAGCTGTCATTTTCGCACATGCGCTGTATATCATTTAGCTTTTTGGGAGTTTTAAGTCCTTTCTGCTGTTTTTTGGGAGGGGTTTATGAGTGATGGTCACTTGTTTGTCTGTTAGGGGTGTAGTGTCCAAATTTTGTGTCCATTCGTCCAGTAGTTTTTGAGTTATGTGAATCCCACAAACAAGCACACATTACATTTTTATTTATATAGATTTGAGCTCAGGCCTCTCCATAAGGCAAGCAGCACACCAAGAAGATTTTTGTTCATTCGGGCTTACTACAAAATCTCCACCTACATAGCTAGGCAAAATTTAAAAGTGAATGCAACTTGTACTGTGCCCAGAATCCACATAAAATGCAACTTTCTTACCGTATACTGGTTATATGCTGTTGAACAGGCTGGTGTTGAAAATGTTCAGGCCATTGATGATGTAGGCAGAATGAAGGTGAAGACTGGAGGCAGCAAGCGGTCTGGTACAAGGGTGCATGGTTTTGGCAAGCAGATGCTGAGTATTCAGTATGAGGGTTTGGGCAACAGGAAGTCAATGGAGATGTTGCCGCATTGCCAGCCAGGGAAAGGCATTCTTGTTGATTACTATGGTGATTCAGTGGGTGATGATATTGGCAAAGGTGACACTGTGACAACACCTGGGGAGTCCTTTGGTCATCTGCAGGCAGGAAGGATGCTTTTAGCATGCCATTAAGTTGAAGGCATCCATTTGCACTCACTTTTCCTCTTGGGGTTTCCTTAGTGTGGAGGTTGGGGATCGTGGCAGTGCCATCACTGGTTGAGAGGAGATCATGACTTGTCACATTAGATGGGATGCCACCATTGCTCATAATGGCAAAGTCGTTGTTGCCATTGCTGGTAGCCATGCTCCAAACTTCAGCCAGCCTGCAATGTGTCTAGGAGGAGAATGGAGAAGTAAAGGGAAATTTAAAAACTCAGCAAGCATCAGGCACAATTTTGTCATAATTAGTTTCAAGATTTGATGCAAATAACTGGATAAAAAGAAACATGGTTGAGAGGTGCACAACATTCAACTGATACAGCATTACAGTCTGAATGCTCGTTGTCACTCTGTGGACAACACTGTACCTCAGACTAACAGTGAACTCAAAGACACATAGACAGTCCTTCCAAAATGTTTCCAAAATTCAATTTGACCAAAAATCATTGAAATGACATCCCTTAAGCCTCTGCAGATTCCTCTGGGGTTCTGAAGGCAGGCCACGATGCTTCAATCAAAATTCACACAAATGATCAAAATGAGATTTGCTCAAGAAGAAACTGATATCTTTGTTGATTGTCTAACAAATGATGTGTCTTCACAACAGCCTCTTATCCCACTTTGTTTTCATTAACATTGATGATGAAAAGAAGAAGGTAAGTGGATAATAATGAATTGAAGCCACATAATAGTACAGTCAAAACAATGCAAGGAACTGATGAAATAAATAAGAGGCATAACAAAAACTTGTCAAGATATTTTTTGAATTTTAATTTCTATAATCCCACAACCTTCAGTTGTAATTCAAAAAAGTGGCTTTTCCAATCTCTGAAAGAATATCTTCTAGATCTAGAATACAATACTACCATCATTATGTTAACCTCTTTCTAATAATAATATTAAAGCCTGGCATTTGTTAATATCTTGTCAAGGTTCTGTTCGCTAATCTTTGAGCCTTACGGGGGCTTTTTAAGCATTATTTTTCTCATCCTTCTCTGCTAAAGAACTGCTAGGCTGCTTGAAACGTTCCACCAGCCAAGCTATTTAATTGGCTCATTGCTAATATTGAGCAGAAGGTGCTTTGCGCAATGGAATGCTGCCCATAGCAACCCCATGCGCCGCTTCTCGGAGTCATTTCAGCTTGGAATCCTCAATGCCTACAGCTAAAAAAGGGGGGATGCGCTAGATAATGAAACTTAACACTATTTCTTTTATGTTTTTACCCAGATGCTTTGGCAAAGTTAAAACCAAACAGCAACAAGTCATAACTTGACAGCATTTTCAAGGCGGGAATATTTTGCTTAGACTCCATCTCTGCAGAATCTCAGTTCATATTCTTCTCAAGCACTTATCCCCCTTCATCAGAATCTTATTAAAATCTTATTGAACAAGAATCACTAAGAGAACACTGAAGCAGCTCAAGAAATGTGTGAGAAAACATTTCTATTTTGAGATAACTGGAACTGTAGTAGCATGGCTTTCTTGCAGATTGTTGCTGGATTGCAACTCCAATGACGCACAGTCCATCTCATCAGCATCACATGGCCACACGTTCCCACCCCAGCCTAAAACAAAAACACCACCAAGGTAAGAAAATGGCCTGGAGAAAGCACCAAGTAAATGGAAAAAGGGAAACAGAAGTATGCTGTTATATATACTTTTGTTCACACAAAAGCTTAAAATATAAGCTATCGTCGTGATTGCATCACCCCCTACAAATCAGCACATACACTAAGATCATCCGGAGAAGCTCTTCTCTTGCTTCCGCCGCCGTCTCAAGTGCGACGGATGGGGATGAGAGGGCCTTCTCGGTGGTGGCCCCTCAGCTTTGGAACGCCCTCCCTAAGGAAATCAGACAAGCACCCACCTTGTCCACCTTTCGTAAGGATTTAAAAACCTGGATGATCCGTTGTGCCTTTGATTAGCAGTTCCCTATAGAACTGGCTCGACTTTACCTAAGTTCCTGCACATTTTCTACCCATCCCCACTAATATTGACAGTTTATGGCCAGAGGTATCCCCTCTAGTTTGACACTGTTGCACTTTCCCTTGGCTCTACTTAGGAACTCATTGCACTTACTAGACCCCAGCTCTGATTCTATTGTCAGCCAAGATATTGTTTTTATGATGTTGCTGTTGTGTTTGTGTACGTTTTTATTGATTGATTTTATGCTGCTGTTTTTATCTGTGATAATCGGGCTTGTACCTTTGTAAGCCGCCCTGAGTCCCCTTGGGGAGATTGTGGTGGGATATAAAATATTATTATTATTATTATTATTATTATTATTATTATTATTATTTCCCTCCCTCAATATGGAAAGAGATAGCAGCAAATTGGCAATAACACAGCAGTAAGCCATGCATACACACACACCTAGATGCATAAAACTGATCATTTGCCCAAGACAACCAACCCAACTGCAACTGACGCAAAAGATATTTCTGCCAAGAATGGATTCAAGGGGTAAATATTTGAAGAATCAATAAATGGTTGTCTGTTTTTATTTACAGTACAGCCCCTGCATCCATGTTTCCAGACTTTGAATATTCGTTATTATGCAGATAATAACGAACCTTATTGCAATAAAGGACTTCTGGTCCAAGAATGTTATAGCATTGTGCTGGAGGATCTTAATACCTAGAGCAGGGGTCCTCAAACTAAGGTCCTGGGGCCAGAAATGGCCCTCCAAGGTCATTTACCTGGCCCTTGCTCAGGGTCAACCTAAGTCTGAAATGACTTGAAAGCACACAACAACAACAACAACAACAACAACAACAACAATCCTATCTCATCAGCCAAAAGCAGGCCCACACTTCCCACTGAAATACTAATAAGTTTATATTTGTTAGAATTGTTCTTCATTTCAATTATTGTATTGCTTTAAAGTGTTTTTTGCACTACAAATAAGATATGTGCAGTGTGCATAGGAATTCATTCATTTTTTTTTAAAATTATAACCCAGCCCTCCAACAGTTTGAGGGACTGTGACCTGGCCCTCTGTTTAAAAAGTTTGAGGACCCCTGACCTAGAGAGTACATATTATGTCAGATGTGGATAAACGAAACCATGGATACTTCCATTTCACTTCCAGATTGTAACACAACAAAATGTTGAAAGGGAGGGATGGACACATCTGCAGGACACTACGCTCTATAATTTAAGGTGACGTACAAGAAGGTTGACTTCTTACAGAAGTTAGCATCATGATTCCGCAAATATCTATCCACCTAGACTGGGTGGATAGATAAAAAGCTGCAGATGTAGTTTTAACTGTAAGATCAAAGAAGAAACTCTGATAGTATCATTTAGAAAACATGTTTACCAAGCCTCGTTAGGCTTGCTTGATGTTATTAAGTGTGCAGCATCAATGGATGATGGTGGTGGTGGCAGTGGTAGTAGTTAATGTGCCTTCAGTTTGATTCTTACTTCTGGCAACTCTGTCATTAAGGTTTTCTTGGCAAGACTTATTCAAAGGAAGCTTCCCATTGCCTTCTTAGGCTTAGAGAATGTGAATTCTTGGTCACCCAGCAAGTTTCCAAAGCTGAGTAGGAATTTGAATGTCGGTTGTCCAGAATCCAAGCCCAGCACCTGAACCACTACAAACCCTGGTTTACCAGACAACAATAAAAACAATAGGCAAATATGACTAGCAATAGGCAAATATCTGTTTTCTGTGCACATTCCAGAAAGAATCTTATAAATTGCAGAACCAATTAATCTGATTTGGCCCATAGTTGAAAGTCATGCTAGGATCCCAACTGGGCCCCTTGCACATCTGTGTTTTTGTGTGTATGTGTGTGCTGAAGCTGCTGATTCCAAGATTAGATGGGAACTAGTGCCTTTAAGGTTATTTGGGCCACAAGAAGTGAACCATCAATGAAGCTTAAAGGACAAGTGGCGATTTATACCTCCTAAAATCAAAGATGGGGCACCAAGGGGGAGCTGGGATGGAGGGGAGTTGTCACAAGAGAAATGCATGGCTACCAACAAGTTCATATTTGTTGCCTTTCTGGAACAGAAATCTATTTGGGCTTGCATGTAAGCCTCATTTTTATTTCTATAGTATCTATTTTATTCTCCTTTTTGGTTTTATCCTGCTGAGTTTAGTATCCATTAATTTTATATAATGCAATTATGACATATGTGTAGATGAATATTCTCTCCTTGTATTTATCTCTTAAGGCTCTAGTTACTTCATGAAAAAATCTGTTTTTCTATGTTTGAATTTTTATATGTGTTGTTGTTATTTGACATGCTGTGAGATGCTTTGAGCACAATCTCATAATTAATTGACAAGGAATTAGGGAATATTAATAGAATACAATCCATCGCCAATCTAGAAGGGTATTAATCCACACCAAGTTTGCTTTCCTTCACTAGATACTGTCCAACTGCTTTATCATCACTTTTAGGATGAGTGGGTAGATTTTTTTAGAGTATATATAGACAGAAGATAGACTGTATATTTCCCAGAACCACAAGAGGACTTTGACTTAGATAAAAACTAAGAACATGGTCTTTTACTTTAATGTTTAACTGGGGTGGATGACTAAACCGTATCCAGATTACAGTATTCCCAGAATGTGGGAGGGCGGGTAGAGAAATTTTAGATATGGACAGTTTTCATATCAATCCTGTGAAGTTCTTTGCAACTACACTGAACAGCACCAGCTTTCAAGGCAAATTGCAATCTTTCAACTTTCAAACAAATGTGCAGGATTTATTATTCATTCAAAAGGGTGCTCATTTTAGCTACAGCCTTCAGTATGCAAGACCTGAGCAGGGCTGTTGATGATAGGATGACTTGGAGGTCTTTAATTCATACAGTTTTGTTGTTAATGGCGGTTAACAACAAAACCTCTCTCATTCCTCCAAGAGCGGACTAGACCCTTTATTACTCTCATTTTTTTAAAAAAATATATTGGAAAGGAGTCAGAATGCAAACGTAAAACCACACCGGCTCAAGAAAGACCATCAGGACTCACTTCATTTAAAGTTGTTGCTGTTGCTGTTGTTGTTATTATTATTTACAAAATGTATATCCCATCTTTCCCTACTTAAGGGCCTATGGTGGCTTACAGTGGATAAAAACATGCATAATACAAGTTTTAAAATTTAAAAACCAATATTAGTAGTTGCTGTCACGTGTCCTAAAAATACATTAAACTATAATAA